GTGGCATAGTGCTTCTATGTATGATGCCACGTTGGCTCCGCCTCATGATTTTTTTATTATAGATAATTTCAAACACATGTAAAAGTAGAGACAATAGAATAATATAGCCTCAAAAACCAGCTGCAACCATTATCAACTCATGACCAGTCTTGTTTCATTTATTCCCCCAATCTTTCCAAACCCCTACTCCCACAATCAATTATTTTGAATCAAATACTTAGCATTATTTCATGTAATAAATAAATATTAAAAATATACACCCAAAAGGTATTCACAATACTATTATCACACTTTAAAAAATCAGTGTTAATTCAGTAACAACTGCAATGAACTCAAAACATAGCAACAGTCATGAAGATGGTACAGGACCGGGCAATGTTTCATTCTGTTGTACATGGTGAAACCATGAGTTGGAGCTGACTCAATGGCAGCTAACAATAACAACAATTAATAGCATAATGGCAATAAGAATAATATTTTAAAGAAAAATTTATTTTAATCTTCTTGAAAATTTATCTTTAATAAAATACTGAAAGAGGGGAATATAAAAATAAAAATATAAGGGACCACTAGAAGAAATTGTTGTTAAGACATTTGAAAAAACATCAAAAGTAATTTATCCTAGTATTAAAAAAAAAGGATGCTATATAATGGAATTATGTAGTATGTAAGCTTTTAGGATGGATGTTTTTCACTCAGCATTATTCTCTGGAGATTCATCCAACAGTTGCCTTTACCAAAGTTTGTTTCTTTTTATTACTAAGTAGTATTCCATGGCATACGGCAAAGTTTGTTTACTCATTCACCCACTGAAGACATCTGTGTTCTTTTCAGCTCGGGGATATTATGAATAAGGATGTTGTAAACAGTCGTGAAAAAAAAAATAATGTTAATTACTTAATCTCACTCAATGAACAGTTGTTAAAATTTCTCCATTTTTCTCATATATTTTTAATAGCTGTTTGTATGAATAAGTTTCTACATATTACAAGAGAGTCTTTGAGTTTTTGAAAGACTGTCTGTAAGCTCTGTTCCCATAATTTTTTTCTTGTAATTTATTTGTTGAAAAAATTGGGTGATTTGTCCTGTTGGATGCACCACAGTCTGAATTTTTATTATCATATTTCTTGAACACCCATACCCATTTCCGTCGAGTTGATTCTAACTCATAGCAACCCTATAGGACAGAATAGAACTGCCCTATAGGGTTTCCAAGGCGGTAATCTTTACGAAAGCAGACTGCCACATCTTTCTCCTTCAGAGTGGCAGGTTTGAACCACCGACCTTTAGGTTAGCAGCCAAATGCTTATCCACTACACCACTAAAAATTGTCTCCATTGTTCGATCAATAATTATATTAATAATATACCCCCTATTACTACACTGGAGCCCTGGTGGCACAGTGGTTAAGTGATACGATTCCTAAACAAAAGGTCAGCAGTTCAAATCCATCAGCTGCTCCTTGGAAGCTCTATGGGGCAGTTCTTCTCGGTCCTGTAGGGTCACTATGGGTTGGAATTGACTGATGGCAATGGGTTATTACTACAGTTACTCTATTGATTTAGTAATATATAATATGTTATGTTTTCAAAATTTGTTAATTTTCTCTTGTAATAAGAGAAGTTTGCAAACTCCTAATATCTAGGATAGTCTTGGTGCATTTTATTTAATCAAGGAAACTATCAAGAATTGAATTCCCTAAAAGGAGCACAGAGCGTTCAGACTGTTTTAATTTTGTCAAACTGAACACAGTATTTTGAGTGTGCTTAAATTCTTTTAAGGAAATGTTCTGATAAATTACTCTATACTTCCTAATAGTTCATTGAAGTGATTACCTTGAGAAAGCCTTTCAGTATTTACAAGCTTAAATAACTAAAGTAAAATGTTAAACATGTTAATTACATGAAAGGAGTATAAACAGCTATGAGAGCATAGAGATTGAATATAGGTATGAGATAATAAAATGTTATATGGACTTGGTGTCATTTAAGATAGGCCTTGAAAAATGGATAGAATTTGGTATGATAGACACAGGTAGAAAGTATTTCCATATGAATTATAGCAGGAGTAAAGGCAGAGAAGGGGAGAAGAACAAGTGATATTTGAGCAACAGTGAAAATTCCTTTTAGCTAGAAAATGTGTTAGATGACAAAGAAGATAAGGGTGGAAACACAGAGCATTCTGTAAAGGTCTTTCAATTTGCTTTGAATCTGCCGCTGATTAGCTGCATGTTTTAGGATGTTTATTCTATCTCTTTAGGCTTTTTTTCTTCCTTCACCTATAATATCAGGAGACCAGCCAAGATAATTTTTGTGGTTCTTTCTAGTTCTAATTTTGCATTCGGAATAAATATATTCTATAGAATGAATAAAATAATCATAATCAATATGACATTTCATCTCCTCTAGGCCAGAGGTGTTATTGGAGGTGCTAAGGGCTTGAGTTAGTATGATGAACATGGAAATTGAAAGAGGGCATGTACACAAATGAATTTCTAGAGGTTGAATCAGCATGATTTGGTATTGAATGACCATTGATGATAATTAAAAAGAAAAAAGGATGGATCAACTATTGAGTTTTCAGGTGCACATGACTAGAGAAAATGGTGGTCCTGTAAACAGAAATCTAAAAAGCAACTGGTGAGGACTTTGGAGATAAAAGAAGAAAAATGGTGAGTTTGGTATGACAAGTTTGAAAATTATGCAAATAGACAAGCCTTTTATTCAGTTGATATTGATGGCTGGGATTATGAAGCAGAGGTTTGTGCTAGGAGGTAGAATTGTAACTGAAATCTTAGGTGAGAAATAAATTACTAAGTGAAATAATGCATAAAAATGTTTGAGGAAAGAGAATAACGTTGGGGGAAAAGTTTGACTTTAAGACATGGGAAAAGGAAGAGAACCCAGTGAATGAGAAAATGGACAAGAATGATGGTGGACAAAGCAGGTAAGTGGATTAGTACGTTAGTCTATCAAAGAAGGAAATTCAAAAATGTGGAGGGACCAACAGGGTCAAATATAAGAGCTTTGGAGCAGGATGAGAGTTGAGTAAAACTTTGGATTTTGCAAAATAACAGCTTCACAATTGCAAACGAAGCATATGGAAGCCAAGTTTCAAGGGATTAAAGTGTGAAGATTTGGTATGAAAATATAAGCAGCAAGTATGAAATATTCTTTCAATAATAAATCAGAAAACACGTGCCGGCCATAAAACCAAATTGATTTTGGCCAATTCACTTAACTTCCCTGGACTTTTGTTTTGTTTTGGTTCGGTTTGGTTTTTTCCAGTTCTGTGTTAGGCATTATATTATACTACTTCTTTAAAATTGTGGAGGAATAATCAAAGAGGTGACTTCATCTCCCTGAAAGAAAATCCACTGTTTTATTGTTGTCTCTACTGCTAACGTTTGTGTTCAATTTGGAGACTACAGAATAAGACATAGTGATATACCTTTGGGTGATTATCTTACTTTGGATTGACAAAGTAGACTAGCAAGTTCACAAAAGATTTTTCTTCACTGTAGGTACTTTTATCTTTAAATCATTATCTGATATTATTGTATTGAGATAGGCTGGTTTTATTTTTGAATTACAGTCAAATTTGTTACCAAGGTAGTACAGAATCATTATATTCAAATAAGAATTTATCACATAGCAAATGTAAAAAACAAGAGCTCTATGAACCTGAAAAGCCCCATCCATGTGAGGATGTTGTCCTCATTTTTTCCCTGGAGCCAGACAATTGTAAGGACCTGCATGCGTCCACTATAACCGGAGTAAGAGTTAACTTGAGAGACTTGTCATCATCTTAAGGAATCCTTTTCTTGATTAGAATTCCCTCTGTTTGATAGTAAATCAACTACTAGATCAACTCTGATTGACCCTTTTAGCCCTGATTCCAACAGCCCATGTTGCTCCTGTTTGCTTGGAGGACTTGGAGATTGTAGACATGGAACAATTGGGCTTATGTAGACTCATCCATGACTCACCTGGGAACTGATTCTCCACTCAGGTATCAACCATGCCCGTCACAGGGCATGTGAACATGTTTTGAGTCTCACTATTATCACAATATCCTTGAGAACACTTATTTCAGAACCTTAAGTAAATCAGAGATCAATTTAGCCTAAAATGTAAATTTGCATTTTGTTTTATAAGCTACTAATCTTCAATTTAAAGGAAGTGTAACAATAAGACCCTATTCTATCAGTGTATCATCAAACTTTTTTTCAAATCACTGATCAGAAGCACAGATTTTGGGAAATTTTTATTGTTCTTATAACTTGGTTTACATACTGCCTTCTAGTATGTCTCTGATCAAAGGTTTTAATTTAAACAATCATTAAGGAATGTAATTAAAGCATGTCCAGAAATTCACATTAAGTACTAGTTATGTTTGTTTTTGAAGAATTTAACACAACTTTAACTTCAATTTTGGTGTAGATCTCTGTCTTTAGACAAAACATTTTTATTATTCACACTCTTAAAAAAATTCTACCCAGTGCTAGGAATCAGCAATAACTTACTAGATAAAAATCAGATTTTTCAAAACTTTTGGTTTTCAAAATAATATTAGATTTTAAAAAAAATTAGAAACTATACTTATCTCATACTCTTCTTTTTACTTTAATCTTTAAGAAAGAGATCTTTCTATCAGTAAGCCAAACTTTATCTTTCCTGAAGTTTTCAGTCATCTATAAAAGGTGAACTTTTTTATAGAAGAAATAATACTATAAAAATAATATTAGTATTATTATGCAGCCATAATTTTAAAGTCAACAATGACACTTTATTTCAGGGAGTATACTGCATTATTTCATAGTGCATTCATAAGCAAAGGTCATTATATATATGTTACATCATCATAATTTTCTAATTAATTTGTTCTTTATACATGTTCCAATTGCATTTCATTAACTCATAGTTTTCTTGTAAGTTTGTGTTTTCTTTCCATGTTCAACGAATCTCTTTAATTCAATTTCTCTGTTTCTCCTCATACAGTCTGGCAGCCAGATATGCAACTCAGTCTAATCACAGTGGAATTGCAACCAGTCAAAAAAAGCCTACTAGGTCAGTTAATATCTCTAATTTATTGCTTGTTAGTGATATTCAAGTAAATACCCAGTAATATTTTGTTCTATCACTCTAAATTTCAAAAACAAATGATGCAATTCTGGATGAAAAGAATTCTTCCATAGCAGATTTCCACACACAGTTTCAGAGATGACCATGTTCTTGCAGATCATTGGATGGGTTTTGGCTCCTCTAGGTGCAGTGGTTAAGAGTTCGGCGGCTAACCAAAAGGTAGGCAGTGCAAATCCACCAGCTGCTGCTTGGAAACACTATGGGACAGTTCTACTCTGTCCTGTAGGGTCACTGTGAGTTGGAATTGACTCGACAGCAGTGAGTTTTTTATCTTAGTGTAGTTACACACAGTACTGGGCTGAAGTCTATGTTCTAGTCTTAGAGCGAATTTTCCAAAATTTTACTTTGAAGGTCCCATTCTTTCCAGGTCACACAATCTGGAAATTATCCTACAAAATTGTAATTAGTTTTTGAGATGGACACGCAGTAATTATTACACGTTTTAAAGCGGAATTGAGATAGATTGGCAAATTTCAGTGGGGGATTTTGCACCAGAGTAGCCTAGACTGTTCTTCTACCTGTAATAATTTAATGTCTCTGCTTTATGCTGTATATATTGGAAAGAGTTCTGTTATAATAATTACAGTGTGTTATGCACTATTTGAAAAACACTGGTATGTAAAAAAATGTTTTTAAAGAGTTTGATTATTTAAATATTAAGTTGCTAAGGGCCTGATGGTGGCATAGGACAGTTGAGTACGCCCACAGCAAATGTGTTTTGCACCCCTGATTACTATGCAGTTATGTGTGCCATCACACTCACTGGGGAGGCATCTCAGTGGTGGTTTACTAGTCATTGCTCCACTAATAAATCGTATTATGTGACGTTTGACCACAAGGACTGCTTCTGATGCCTTGACTTGAGGTATGTGCCTTTCCTCTTGCGTTGGTTTTCTAAGTTGTGTTCATTTTCATAGTTGTTAAAATGATTCTGGACAGAAAAAATAAAAAAGGATATTTAATTAAAACTTAGAATAAATGATATAAATTAGATGAGCAAGGAACGGTGACCTTGCATGTACAGTGAGCCTTTTTTATTACCACTTCTGAGACTTGTGCATGTAAAATATATTTTAAGTAATTTGTTTTAATAGAACATCCTCTCATTTTTTTGCTTCATTCTCATTTATCTTTTTATTACTTTGATGAATGATTTGGAGGCTCTGGCTGCCTGTCAAAGTAGGATAATGAGAAGAACAAATGGATTTTTTAATTTGTTTTAATTTGTTCTTCTGAGACCTGAAGATCACTTGTCTTCATAAGTCACAGTAAAGATAAAAATACATTTTAATTGCTCTCTAGAAACAGGTCATATTTCCTTGCAAACAGGGCAAGTTTGGTGACAAAAATTGCTTATACATGTGGATTTAGAGTGAACTTTCTACATCTATGGCTATGTCTACAAGAATAGTCCTCAGATTTATGATAATTGGGACATTTTGCCAACTTAATTAGTTGAGTTCTTTCTGCAGAGTACAGTCACTGGTACTGTAAATTCCTGGCATCTATGGTTATCATGTTATACTTACAAACCCTTGTAGATACCTTTGACCAAAAGTTAAAAGCTGGAATCATTTGCAAAAGATTCTAATCCTGTGTATGACACAACCTCTAATGAGCAAATTAACCGAAGGAAATATTTATTAGCCATATGTATGTAAACTCCAAAACACAGTGAACATTTTGAAACCATTAACTATTCCAAGAAATCAACACTTCTGTTTTTAAGCTGATATTTGTGTTTTCCTGATGTTCATTCCATTTAGCAATACCCATTACTATTAAAAAAGTATTTGCATTAACTAAGAGTTTAATTTCCTAATCATCTATGGACAAAATAAAGTCAAGTAGTATTATAAATGTGAGTTAAAAATGTAAGTAATATAACAATGAGGTTGTGAAATTTTGATATGTTGGGTACCAACATGTCAAATATAAACTTCTTTTATTAAAAAAATTATAAAGTAGAATTGTGTAAAAATACAGCGCTACATGTATAGATTCTCTATTGTTTTTGTTTATTTTCTTTCATAATAGGAATTTTCCGAGTAGTACACAGTGACATTCACATGGTGGCAGCAAATGCTAGCAAAGATGTTGGCAACCTTCAATACATATTTTCTAAATGGATCTTACAACATTGTGTTAGTTCTTAATTTGGATTATTCTCATTTTTTTTTATTTTTAACTTAAGTAGATTGAGTGTATTATATGCATATAAAATAAGTCAGTAGTATAAAAGCAAAATATAGCAATTAACACATTTTAGGCACAGTTCATAAAATAATTGATACTTGATGTTTTAATGTGGAAACTGCTTAAAGATTGAAATGAGTGACCCAAAGTGATAATTTAGTTATAGTAGTAATAAAGTTGTTACAGGTCATAATCTCCTGTCAAATTCCCCTACTTATAAGATATTCTGCATATATTTCCTCATATCCTGTCCTTCATATATAAAGAATAGCTAAAGCTACTGTTATTCTAGGTATAAATTTTCATTCTGCTAATAGTCATTTTCTTCTGAGACCTGCATCTTTTCTTGTCATTTTGCTTCTGTGATCAATTGACCACACTTGTGATATAATCAGCTCAAGTCTGGGTCTTATTTTTGGCGAGAGCTCGAGAGTCTTCCTGTGAGTCAGGTCAGTGAGATAGGAATTGACCTGTGACCTTGGTCTCCACACTGTGTTTTAATTAGAGTAGCTAACTAGCTTGGATATTCAATAAGCATTTGCTGTTTGCAATTTAATATCTTTATTCTTGTTATTATTAATATATAAGCTGACTTAAAATGCAACTACATAAAGATAAAAATAAATGCCCCATACATTGAAAATAACATCTTAAGAATGACTGCAAGTAGCTGATTAAATACCACACAGAAAACAAATAAAAGTGTTATTTTCCTCTTACTTTTTATGTAATTTTTATGGTCCTTTTAAGACAAAGTATTGTTCGTTGCAGGATGAGCTAAGTATATAGCCTTTTCCGTTATATATCACTTTATTTCTAATTGTGCTATATTATCAATGTACTTTGGGGGCATGTTTATTGGAAACTGAAACAAGATTTTTTTAAGATTCTCAAATCTTGTGTTTATTTATTTGTCACTTAAACTATCATTTTCTGCTAAATAGATTTTATAACATCATATACTGTGACTTTCCCATTAACTCTTCCCTGCTGAGAACCTCCTGCCCCCTATATTTTCATAAGGTACAATAATGATGTAATTTTTCTTATACTATTTCAGGCTTCCAGGGCCCTCTAGGGTGCCAGCTGCAGGCAGCAGCAGCAAAGTCCAGGGAGCCTCTAACTTAAATAGGAGAAGTCAGAGCTTTAACAGCATTGACAAAAACAAGCCTCCAAATTATGCAAATGGCAATGAAAAAGGTAAGTGTCCGCCTGTTACATCATTACAGTTCAAGTGTAAATACCAGTCTGAAATTACAAGCTAAATCTTTAAATGATCAGTGTTACGGCTTTTAGAATAGGAATTTCATCCGTGGAGTTTTCTTGTATTTCCTAACTGCCCCTTCCTAAATTCTAGCTTTCTTCAGGTGTTTTCTAATCTGAAGAATATTTTAAGGAAATAAACTTATTTATTTTAAAGTGGCTGATTTTATACCCAAATATAAATTCAGTTACTCAAAAACAGTTCCTCCCCGGATGCATATAAAATAGCATTGTCTTGTGTCTTTTCATGATTTTCTGAAAATTTACCATGAAATCATAAAGCCATATTAAGTCTGTATGAATCCTTAGCTTTAGTTTGGGCAGATAAGGTTGGCACATTGAAAAAAAATAATGGTAGGTGTTTATTTTTGAAAGCAGCAGACCACAAAAATATTATGGCTTTGTTATTCTCTAAAGAGAGAAGTTATTTATATATTTTTTATTTTCTTGAAATGGTGCATAATTGGAATATTAAATCACAAAATTACTAGGAAAAAAAGGACATTTAATGAAAATCTGTGTTAAAGGCATGTTATAACTACATGCTACACAGTTCTCTGTAACATGCAAAGTCTACATTTAAAGAGGGGCTGGTTTGATGTATATTGCTGGAGTAAGGTGTGTGCAGTTCATGCATAAACCAAGGGAAAATCCTTTAAGAACTTCCATTAATTTATATTGTTGTAAGCAGTGTGATAGTGTTTTCAAATCACTAGAACTTTAAACTTTTCTTCGCAAGACTTGACTCTACATGGAACCAGACATGAAATTAAAAAGTCACAATTATGTGTTGTTAGTAGAAGAGCTGGCAAATGTGGTTTGACTAATACAACCACGTAGGATTTTTTTTTTTTTTTTTTTGCTCAGATTGGATAATTTCATATTATTTCATATAGAGGAACTGATTAAACAACATTCACTTACTCAGACTTGAAATGAATATGAATTACTCTCTTTTGTGAAATTTATTTCCCTCAGATTAAGGCAAGAGTAGTAGTTACCCCTTGAGAGCAGAACCGTCTATCTTGATCCCTGCAATGCCCTTAGTTTTTAAATTGAATTAGGAAAAAAAAGTGTATATTTGGAAGTTAGGAGTTTGAGTTTAAAATATAGACTCTCTGATTTAAGATCCTAATAAATATTATTAAATAATTATAATTTTCCTAGGGAGAGGGAAGATAGCAATTCCCCATCAGAAAACCAACCTTCTTAGTTTTATGACTTTCCTAGAAAATGTAATACAGGTTCAGGCTAACACTTTCCATATATGCTATAAAATTCTAGGGGAAGCTAAACATGCATTGAAATAGAGATGTGTTGAATGGACTTCCAAGGAGTCTAATTTCACTTAATGATACCACAGTTACATAATATTTTTGCAACAAATTACTAATAGGGAGATGGGGCCAAGATAGTGGAGTAGTTAGATGCTTCCGGTGGAACCTCTTACAACAAAGGACTGAAAAAACAAGTGATTCGATTATATGTGGCAATCTGGGTGCCCTGAACATCAAAGGAAGAGTTTAAGAACCGGACTGAGTGCCGGGGGAGGGAGAGACAGTTCAGAAGCAGCGAGGAGTTGCCAGACCTGACCCAGTGAGAGTCTGAGCCCTTCAGGCCTGAGCAGCTCGTGGGTGAGCAGTGAGACAGGCAAGCAGCCGTGTTCGTGAGGCACATTTTCCGCACCAGGAGAGACCCAGTGACAGACTGTCTACATGGCCACCCAGAACCAGTGACAAGCAGCCCTCAATCCGGCAAAAGATAAGTAATTGTGTACAGCCTACCGCGCGGATCAAAAACACAACCCTTAGGGAAAAACCTCTCTCCTGTTTATCTCCCCACTGCCTGCTATGCACTGGGTCCCAGACCAGCTTCAGCAATTGCTGAGTCCCCTGGGCTGGAAGTAGGATCCATCACAGGCCCGAGCTGTTCTCCCTGCCTTGGAGAGTGAATAAATTAACAAACAGGAAAAAATAAACTGCCGGCTCCCCTAAGCCAGGAACCCAGGGCAGTCATAGTTCCTTTGCCTAGGCACAGGCATAAGGGATCCATGGACTTTGAGTGCCTTTCCCCTGCATAGACTTGTGTGGGCCCATCTCAAGAGCATAGGCCCTCATTACCACAATACAACAGAGTATTTACCGGAACCCTAACTTCAACTGTTTCAGCTGTGAAGTGGCAGGTTCTTGACATTTGACAATGCTCTACCCATTAAACTGGGTCTTCACCTATCCACATCAGGGGCCTGAGGACTGATGGCTACACCCACGCCACCTAGACACCTGCAATAGGGGCACATGAATAAGAAGTGCACCTCGGTCCTTATAGCCAACAGCCTTAGGTGCTCATAGTCTGGCTGCAAAAACCCACCCATCTACGTGCTCTAGGGAACAGGGACACACCTTCCTCCGGGACATTCGGCGGTGGCCGTCAGCCCCCTGCCTTTCTCAGAGTGTATCCCCCTGCTGCAGCCAGATGCCTGTGCCTACACCAATCACCCATGCCACTCTAGGACTGTAAATGAGAGCCTACACCACACACTTGGTGGCTATCTACCTGGGCACCTGAGCTGAATCCATACAGGAAGAGTGAGTAGACTCCTGAGCTCACGTACCTAGTAACGGATCTAACCACCTGGTGACAGGACATTAGAGCTTCAAAGGTGCCAGTAATCAACCTAGCTCATACGAGCAGCCTATTTGGACATACTAAAACAAAACAAGTAGCTAGGACACAGTAAGCAAATGTAAAATAAATAAATATAATAACCTATTGATGGCTTGGAGACAACAGTCAATATCAAATCACATAAAGAGGCAATCCATGATGGCTTCAGCAAGCTCCCAAAATAAAGAATCTAGAAATTTTCTACAGGAGGAAGCATTCTTGGCATTACCAGAGACAGAATACAAAAGATTAATATAGAGAACTCTTAAACAAATTAGGAAGGAAATTAAGCAAAACACAGAACACACAATAAAGGAACTTACAAAGATCAAAGAAGAGCATAATGACAAATTTAAAGGCTGCAAAAATCCATAGAGAGACAGCAATCAGAAATCCAGAAGATTAACAATAAAATGTCAGAATTAGAACAGGAGCACAACTGAGGCAATGGAAGTCCATATTAGTGAGACTGAAGATAAATCACTTGACACCAACTTATTTGAGGAAAAATCAGGTAAAAGGATTTAAAAAATGAAGAAACCCTAAGAATTTTGTGGGATTCTATCAAGAGGAATAACCTACGAGTGATTGGAGCACCAGAACAGGGGGGGATAACA